TCCTCCTCCTCCTCCTCCTTCTTCTTCTTCTTTCTTCTTCATGTATCCCCAACTTTCCCCACTCTGATGTTTTGCTCTGCCCAGGGCATACTAGAAAGAGACTTGGAGACTTGGAGGGATCACAACCCCAGACTTTAGGATGGAGAACAGGGTGCATTCTGTAAGAATGAAGAGGCTGTCTTCACTTAGAGCCCTTGTGAGATATATTCTGAGATGGCCATAATGATAGCAGGGCTGGGCATTTAGCTGTGCTGGTTGACCCTCCATAATCTGTCACTCTTGTTTAAAGTGAACAAAATGTGTTGCCATGTCTCTGTATGTTCAGCTACAACAGTCTCTCCTGACACACTTCAGAAGCAAGGTTTGCTATCCCTCCAGGAGCCCGGGTTCCTGTGAGTCTCTTTCGCCCTCTTTAGGACACGGAACTGCGGGATCTCAATGACTTGAAGGCGATGACCATTGGGAGGGTCTGAGGTCAGGGGCTCCTTGTGAAATTGCGGCTGTACAGCAAGAACGCACGCCCACGCCCGGAATGTGCCCACCAGGGAACTTCCCTGCATCTCCTAGTGGCAGGGGTAGGAGACCCAGTTCCCAACTGCGTTAAAGAACTCTGCGCCTGCAGGCGTGACCTCCACTCGGGCTTGGCAGTCCACAGAACATCAGGGCCGGGCGGAAGCAGGAACCACCGGAAGCTGCTTTTGGCCCGGGGTCCCAGAGGCCCATAGCACCTGGGCTTCGGCCACCCGGTCCCCTGGCTTTTGGCGCGCCTATGCGCCGAAGCCTCGCTCCCAAGTGCGGGAGGACAATTGGGGTCGCGCAAGCTGGGGTCCACGCAGAGCACATGCAAAGCGCACACGTGCAGGTCGTGCAGGTGCTCCAGCCCAGTTGCGGCGCACCCGCCTGTTGCGTTCCAATCTGGGTTTCCAAGGTCTCTGGTACAGAGTGGATAAACTGAGGCCCGGGACCTGCACCCATCAGATCCTACTGGGACCGCGACACACCGGCTTGGCGCGGGCGGGCTAGCTCTTCCGTCCCAGCCGCGTTTCTAGAACCTAACCGACTGGAGGCCTGGGTTTGTGCTGCTGGAGGCGCCCACGGCTGCGCTTTCCCATTCCCCGAGCTGTGTGGATACGGTGCGCCAAAACTGGGGACCCGGTGGGCGGGCTCGTTGGCGTCAGATAGCCCAGGATGTGACTGCTCCAGCAGGAAGTCTGCTTGGTTCTTCCTCCTTCCTTTCACCACATTTATTAAGCACCAAGCAACGCTGAATGCTGGGAATGGGATGCGGAGGACACAAGTGCTCTCTGGTTGGGTTTGGGTTAACTCCACCTCGTGGTAAGTGCTGCGCTAGGAGGGGCTGGAAGGGCTCCCAAACCACAAGTGCTGGTTGCTGAAGGGTGAGAGATTCTCCAGGGAAAGTGGATGGAGATGAACCCTGCACATTCCAGGGTAAGAATAGGTGGATGAGAGTGTGGGTCAGCACTGTTCAGAGCCGCATGCACTCAGCAAAACAGGGTCACCAACATCTAAATAGGAATGTGCATGTGATCAGATGTTTTGAAGATGGTATCAGTGTAGTTATGGGAAGGATCAGAACTTTGTTGGGAGTCTTTATACTTTTCTGGTTCGAGTTTCAATACTCTTGGTGGTGGGGAGATTCAAGCCTCAATCTTTAATGTGGATGTATATTAGAGGGCCAGACCCAGTGTTCACATAGGCCAGATTGGCTTTGCACTGGCTATCTATATAGCAGAGGATGACCTTGAACTTCTGATCTTCCTGCCTCTACATCCTGAGTGCTGGGATTGCAAGCATGTGCTGATGGGGATTGAACCTAGGATACTGGGCATGTAAGCACTTGGCCAACTAGGCTAGAGCTCTTAAAAAAAACTGCAACCCTCCTACCTCAGCCTCTCTAATGCTGGGATCACAGGCCAGTTCTGATTATCCATTTCCTTTTCTATTTCTTTTTCTTTTTGAGAAAGGGTCTCACCCCTGGCTGGCCTGGAATTCATTATGTAGAGTTCAGATCTCTGCCTGCCTCTGCCTCCCAAATGCTGGGATTAAAGGTGTACACTACCATACCCAGCTCAGATAATCTATTTCAAAAGATGGGGTACTTGTGTCATAGGGTAGATTGTCCTTAAGGAATAAGTATTGGAGCTAGGATATGAATGAACCCTGTACCAAGTAGGGCTGCTCTTGGCCCTTGGCTATCTTGGGTCTGTAGCACAGACTGGAAGCCCTAGATGTGACTGCTCCAGTGACCAAACTCTACCTTAGGCCAAGAAACTCCACTCACCAGGCTCTGGGGCAGCATTACAGGAAAGGGAAATTGTAGTAGACCCTGTCTTATGGCTGCTACTCTTTTCAGCTCCAGTTATAACTTAAGGGACCCCATTGGAGGCCTTTGGTTTGAGAAACTTTGCAAAAAACTTGAATTGAGTTTGATAGCTTCCTGGTTCCCTAGCGCTGTTGGGCTACACTCATGGTGTCCCAGAGAGCTGTCTTCTCTCCTCCTGGAAGAACCTGAGGAGATGGCGTTGACCATCCTACCCTTTTCTCTCCTCCACCTCTACTGGAGGTGCTCCCCTCCCAGTTAGGCAGCAAGTGGCTCCCCCACAGCATCCAGATACTGAAAATTAGGTGGGTTGATTGCTGCTCAGATTCTCTGCTTGAAGGAGCCCACTGCACCCAGCAGTCAAGCAAAGCAGGTGGTAAGGCAGCCCTTGCACCTGGCTCCCGCCGTTTCCATGGATCTTGTTGCCTCGTCAAAAGCCAGAAAGGTTTCAGATAGTCTCAGCACTGTGGGGAGACCTCAGAAAGCTCACTTGTGTGGGTCAGGTTAGAGAGGCATCAACCATACTAAGTCCCTGGCCTCCTATAGGATAGGCTAAGGAGTTGTGAAAGCCATTAAGACAAGTCTCATTAAGGTTAAGCAGCACACTAGGCACCTACCTACCTTGCTCAGTTAAAGGTAACTGATCTCTTATCCCGATAGAGGTAAACCAGGATAGATAATTGGAGGTCACCCTGTGTTGGCAACTACTATGAGGACTCTGGGGATCCAGGCTGCTTAAGAGCTGAGGAGTCACTTTCACTTTGGGAATGCAGAGTGTGGAGAAGGGGAGGGAGAGGAGCAAGAGAGGTTCTCTGGGACTTTCAAATGCCACTCAGGATGCAAGCCTTGGACTAAATCTGATCTCTTGTTAAAATGACATCATTTATTTACAAATATCTTTACGGTTTGAGTGACTGGACTTCATAGAAAAATAACAAAAGCATTCTTTTTGAAGGGAAGGAGCAGGAGGCAGACTTTCCCTGCATCTGTCAGAAATCAGACAGACAACAGACTTATACACAGCATGAGCTGGGCATCTGGACACTGACTCTCTCACTTCTTGGAACTGAAAAATGTATAAAGTAGCCTTAGGTGCTATACCCTTCAACACTGGAATTATGCTGGAACAGAGGAAGGCCCACTGCGGCCCACCTTGAAGCCCAGTCAGTGGGCCAAAGTTAAAGTCTCATGCCTAGCTGAGGTCCTGCCTCAGCTGAGATTGCAGGTAGGTGCTCTGATGATGGGAATCAGGCCAGGCCAGTCAGTTGACAGGTTAACTTCCAATCTTCTTGGGTTAGCTGTTCTCCCTGTCCTGTGCTTTTGGTATCTCAGCATGGTTTTGGCAGCTGCAGGAGGAGGGAGCGGCAAAGTGGCTACAGTGTGTTGCAGTTTTAATAAAAATTTTATTACACGGCCATAATGTAATCGACACTTCTCCAAATCCAAATGATACTAAATACAGATCTACATGATGGATCAGAATGACTCCAGCAAATTATATGGATTCTACAATTTTGTCTTTTAAACAAGAAGAAGAAAAAAAAAAGTCCAAGTTTGACATGATAGGAGAGGTCCCAGCAGCTCAAGGACTCTGCCAGAGTCCAGGGGGTGTTTAACATTCTGTGATTCCACATTTACACAACAGTCTATAAAGAGCTTCAGGCAATGGACTATTCAAGTATCTGTGATTGTAATGAGTCCATTGCAGCTCCTTCCCTCAAACAGTGCCACAACTATGTGGCACAGCCTTATTTACCAATTTTACAATCACAATGCTTAAAACCATCCATTGCTGCTTTTTCTTTAAAAAAAAAAAAAAAAAAAAAAAAAAAAAAAAAATGTAAACTAAGATAAAGCAACACTGAGGCTTTGCTCAATTCAGAAGAGCTGGTAAGTTCATTTTCGTTTCAATACAACTTAATTCCATGATTTCCCACCATCCCCATTCTTATACAAAAGTAGAGTGGAGTACAGAGCAGAGCTTCTTGGTTCCTCTCCTCTTGTGGAAATCAGCAGCTCTCAGCTGTTCTTTAGCTTAGTCCATGGTGTATATATAGTCAGCTGTACTTTGTTCTGGAAAGATCTGTTAAATGCCACTTTTATTTACACTGGGAGCTTTACACCTGAGAATGATTATCAAGCAGTCAGCTTATCTCTTTTCAAACAATCCAAACGACACACACACCTCTTTGCTGGCTTCACCCTAGTTGCACAATATATATGCTCAACACACATATATATATGCACACACACACACACACAACTGCACATGCTGGTAACACTTGCAACCTAAATCTTTTTGTGTTCCTTCTCCACATTCACGTTAACTAGTTTCTCTTAAAAACAAAACAAAATGTTATTTTTGCCAAACATCAAAACAGAGTCACTAGGACAGAGTCACTAGGAAGAGCCAGGTACACTGGGTCGGGACAAGATACACTATGTTCAGCCAAGAAGCTGCAGGCTGTGTCTGAGGGATGAGCAGGACACTTCGGCTGCCCTCTCTGGGATTTGCTGTGGGCTTGCTGCCTACCTGCCAGGACACAGCCTGCAGGACAACGGGACTAAATGGGGGAAGAGTTTTCTCTAGGGTAGGGCAGTGATGGGGAAGGGGGAAGGGAAGTCACACAGCTACAGCAGCCAGGCCTGTTTAGTAAGAATCACATTTAATGAGTTTCTTTCTTGCAGTTTCAGATGCTCAAGTACAGCTGAAAAAAATCTGAAACAGCTATAGACCCATGACAGACTGATACAAAGAGTACTGCATTTTAAAAAATGATAAAAAAAATCCACACACTTACATACACACACACATACACGCTCTCTCAAATTAGACCCCCTCCCTCCCTCCCCATAAATGTACACTTTTGGAAAACTAAACTGGTTTTGAAAATCCCTCTTCCATAGAGACAGGAAGAAGAGAAAGATGAGAGAGGAAAGAAGACTGCAGACGCCCAATCTCCACTCTCTGCAAGGGTTAGGAGCCAAATGTTCAATGGTTGGGCCCAAGGGAGTTCTGAAGAGGACAATGAAGTGCTGCCATGATTGCCACAGGGGCTCCAGCAAGAACCCCAGCTCCATGGTAATACTGAATGTGTGCAGAGTGGCCAAACTATTCAGGTTAAAATAAAGGGGGGAAGGGGGCACAAACGCAAATCTAAAAGACATGAAAAAAGCCCCTAACAACCCAGATCCACCCTGAGTGGGGCCTGGGGGTTTGGTGGAGATGGTGCAGACAAGGGAGGTCTATACAGCAAATATTACAGATGACTGGCAGTTTATAGAGTCTCTTCCCAATTCCACTGCTGCTCCAGCCCAAAGAGGGCAAATCAAAGGAAAAGAGGAAAGGTAGGACACTGGGGCATGCAGGGTTGGAAGCAGCAGGCTGAGTGTGCTCAAATAAGCCCCCGTCGTTTTTTGTAGTCTTCTAAGTTTAGAGATCTCCTTGGAGCACCATCCTTGGCTGGTGGGGCCTTGGAGGTGATGGCCAAAGCTTTTGACTCTGGGAAAGAAAATCAAATTGGCAAATTAAGGACCTATACAAAGACCTTTTAGTTGTTGGCTTCATTCCTTCAGGCAGCCTTAAAGCCTGACTGAAGCCTGCCCTCTACAGGCATCCTGCTACCCCAACTTCTTCTCTATGGTCAAGCCTCCAAACTAAGATCCATATATCTATCTGGTCCTGAGCCCCAGCCCCTAGTCCATACACACACATACCTGAGCTGGGAACCTGTAAGTCAATCTTCACATCAAAATCATGTACTTTGAACAAGTCTTCTGAAAGGTCACTGGCTGATTTGGAATTCAAATCTTTATCCTTTCCCTGACCCTACAACAAGAAAAGGAAACATTATAAAACATAAATGCAGGTAGATTTCAAGAAGCAGCAGTCACTAATGTTCACAACTCTCGCTCAAGTTCATTAGGTTTTCCTAAAGCTCCCCCTTTTCTTCTGCACATGTATATGGAGGACAGAGGACAACCTTAGGTGCCATCCACCTTCTTTCAGACAGGATCTCTCATTGGCCTGGAGCTCACCAATTAGGCTAGGCTGGAATTAAAGGTGTGCACCATCAAGCTTGGCCTAAGATTTTTATTATTTGTAATTGTGTGTGTGTGTGTGTGTGTGTGTGTGTGTGTGTGTTTGAGAGAAAGAGAGTGAGAGAGAGAGAGAGAGAGAGAGAGAGAGGATATATGCACATAAGTGCAGGTGTCCTGGAAGGCCAGAAGAGGGTATTGTATCTCCTGGAGTTGGAGTCACAGATGGCTGTGAGCTGCTCATAATGGGTGCTGGGAATCAAACTCAGATCCTCTGAGAGCAGTATGCTCTTAACCACCAAGCCATTTCTTCAGCTCAACATCCTTCAATTTCTGATCCATCTTCCCCCACCTCCTAAATACTAGGATTATAGACATGAGATGTATGCTGTCCTGGGCATCATGCTTGCTAGGTAAGCATACTACTGACTGAGCTACAGCCCCAGCTCCGATTTATTTTTTCTTTGAAACAAGGTCTCATGTACTTCAGGGTAGCCTCTAAATTTACTGTGTAGCCAAGGCTGGTCTTGAACTCCTGATCCTCCTTTTCTACCTCACAAGTGCCAGGATTACAGGCATGTGCCACCACATCCCAGCACTCAGAAGAAGCAGAGTAGGTCATGTCTCTCCAAGTTGAGACTTTTTTGTTTGTTTAAAAAAAGGAGTTTCAAGGCTGGAGAAATGGCTCAGCAGTTAAGAACACTGGTTGTTCTTGCAGAAGACCTGGGTTCGAATCCCAGCATCCACATGGCAGCTAACAACTGTCTGTAACTCCAGTCCCAGGGGAGCCCGACAGCCTCTTCTGACCTCCGCGGGCACTGCACAACAAGGGTGCACTTACCTACATGCAGGCAATACATGCATACACATAAAAAAATAAAAAAGAAATAAATATTAGAGAGAAAAAAAAAAGAGGAGTTTCAAGCCAGGCATGGGGGAGGCAGGCGGATGTCTGTGAGTTTGAGGCCAGCCTGGTCTACAAAGTGAGTTCCAGGCCAGCTGGGGCTACAGGGAGACCCTGTCTCAAAAGACATAAATAAAATATAAATAAATTTATTTTAAAAAAGGAGTTTTGGGAACTGGAGAGATGGCTCAGTGGTTAAGAGCATTGACTGCCCTTGCAGAGGACCCGGGTTCAATTCCCAGCACCCACATGGTGGCTACAAACTGTCCTTAACTCCAGTTCCAGGGGAATCTGAAGCCCTCTTCTGACCTCCGAGGCATTGCACGACATGGGTGCACTCACATACATGTAGGAAATACACTCATACACATTAAAAAAAAAACAAAAAATACATATATATGTAAAAGGAGATTCTCTTGGATTAGCATTTTTTTGCTTTTACTTTTACGTGTCACTGATTCCTTCTAACTATCCTGTAAGGTAGGTAGAACACAAGAGTATTTTTCCTGTTTCACATGGGAAAATGTGCCACAGGTCTAGAAGGCAGTGGCCTAAGACACAGTCAAGGGTTCCTTAAGTAGTAGTTTAGATTATCTATCAAAATTCAGTAGTGTTGATCACACTTAGAAATAACTATAGAGAAAGAACTGCAAGCAAAATTCGATGTTCCTTCCTACAGGAAGGAACATCAGGCCTAAACCAGATAAGGAGGCCTGCTCAGAGTCCTAGCTATAAGTCTAGCTCTACAGCCTCAGGGCATACTGCACTTGCCTTGCTCATTTCCTTGGGAGCATCTGGTAATACTCCAGAACCATACTTCGCATTTAGCTGGGCCAAAATGGCAGCCTGAACAGCTGGGTCTCTGGACTAGAAGAGAAAACAAATTATTTTTAAGACTGCTCAACATTCAGAGTTCCAATACCAGATTCTTTCCCATTTACTCCCACTAACCCCACAAGTACCACAGCATATCCATTAGCAGTTCGGGGGAATTTTCCTCAAGGCAGCTGAAAAGGGCAATTAAAAGCTTCAAAATAGCTAGCCAGGCCCATGCTCACCAACACTCAGCACAGGCTGAACATCCCTAGTATAAAAACCCAAATCCACAATGCTCTTAATATCCAAAATGTTTTGTGCAATATTATAGGCCACACGTGGAAAATTCTCTGACCTTGTGTGCAATCAAAACAAGGGCATGAAAAGTATGATTAAAAAGTTACCTTCAGTGATGTGTATACATATGCATATATAAAAGAAGTTTCATCTGTAGATTTGGGTTCCATCCCCAAGATAGCTCAATATATATTTGCAAATATTCCAAAATCTAAAAAACCCTAAACTCTGGAACAAGCATTTTGGATTAAGAATACTCAACCTGTGCTGAAGTCTGCTACACTGAAAACCCACCCTGGTACAGAGTGGGGTGAGTCCCAGGTCTTCACCAATCCATGCCAGGTTTTCACTACTCATATGCCTGACAGCAGATAAAAAAGGAAGTATCCAGACCCAGGAGCTTAGGCAAGCAAATCCCAGCAAGAAAAACATTATTTTTAACTTCTTTATTAATTTCCTAATGGAATTCATTTTATGTCCTAGAATCTAGGTCCCAACTAAAAACGTCCTCTTTAAGCACTCACATTAGAAACGATGGTAGGTTTGCACTGCCGCCTGGTAAACGGATCCATCTGTTGGTTTTTCATGTTGTGACTTTCAGCCTAAAACAGAAAGCATGCATCAGATCTCCTCCCCTCCTCTCATTTGTCCTAAGCTTACATATAAATAACATCTTTGCAAGGAACTAGGAAAAAAGTTAAAAGCTGTCTATCCTTTTCCAGTGGTAAAGCAGTTGCCTAGCACACATGGGACCCTGGGTTCAATGCCCAGCACTGCAAAACAAGAACAAAAACAAAGAAAAACCCCACCAGAAGGGAGACAGGAGCAGCAACCGAAATGTGGTAAGCCAGAGACTGATAACAATGAATGTAAGGGTAAAACAGGACCTAAGGATGCTGCTTTTCACCAGAAATTTAAAAATGATGGTGTGTATATGCAGCAAGGGGGCATGCATGTTATGTGTACATGTTACTTCAATGATTTAAAACTTAAGCTTGGGTAACATATAGGTTTACTTTATTCATTTACTTATTTGTTAGTGTGTGAGGGACACACCTGCCATAGTGTGTGTAGAGGTCAGAGGACAATTTGGTAGAGTCAGTTCTCTCCTTCCACCTCTAAGTGGGTTCCAGGGATCAAATTCAGGGTGCCAGGCTTGCATAGCAAGCATTTTTTTTTTTTTTTTTTTTTTTTTTTTTTTTTTTTTTATTTTGTGTGAGCTGTTTTTCTCTCCCCCCCCCCAGGGTGTTGCGCAGGTAAAATTCCGGGGTGGCGGGTGTTTATAAAACAATTTTTTTTTTTTTTTTTTTTTTTTTTTTTTTTTTTTTTTTACCTGCCAAGTCATCTTGCTGGTCCTAATTTTATTTTCTGAAACAGGGTCTTATGTAGCCCAGACTGGCCTTGAACTTGATATGCAGCTGAGGCTGGCCTTAAACTCCTGATCCTCCTGCTTCCACCTCCCAAGTGCTGGAAATACAGGTATGTGACACCATGCTGGGCCTCATATCACTGTACTTGAATTTTTTCAATGATCCACATAAAGTTATAACTCACCACCAGAGCCTTCTCGGACTCCACAATGTTCCACTCCCGATTCCTCTGGTTAATGTAACTACAAGATGAGTAAGAGAGATAAGTCAGTAGACTGTGTGAGGAGGGGGGCAGCCATGGAACCCTGGCCAGAGATCTATGGAGTCTGTGTGGCACAGGGTGTGTACAAGGCTATAGGCTGGTCAAGGACAGGGGCCTAACCCAAAGAGGCTTGCTAACAGACCTGATAGCAGATATATTCTTAGTCCGCTGGCGGTCCAAGGCTTCTGCCCGCTCCTCCAGCTCGTTTAACTGGTCTTGAATTTGTTTGGCCTTGTCCTGATCTCCCAGGTCTTCAGCCATGGCCTACATACAGAGAAACATTTGAGCTCTTGGTGCTCTTATTTCTATGTAGCACAGACAAAGTATCATGATGAACCAATGACAGGAAATGTGAAGAAATATTGAAAAAGTACTTTACAAAGACAAGGTATACCTTTCCCATTAACTATCTGGTTCTGGGCCCGGTGGCAATGATATGCAACATTAACTTTAAAATCTGGGCCCACGGGACTAAACTACCATAACTAGGCTCATTCCACCCTGACAGATGAAATGGAAAACCACCTGCCACAGTGGAGCGCACAGTATTTTATTATACATGAAACAAAAGTGATTGGAAGCGAAGGAAAATGGGACAGGATCAATTGCACTTACAGAAAGGAAAGGTGCCTAGTAATCAGGAATACCCGTGCTGCTTATGATAAAGCCCAATCCTGCCACCACTGACCTGGCAGAGGATGAACAGGCAAGTTTGATTTCCCTGTCTCTTTAGAGGACAGGCAAAGAGGCTTGGACAGAAGTCTTTACCTTTTCTTTTAGCAGCTGAGTCTTCTTCATAGCATAGTTGGGTGGAGCTTTTCTGAACCTTTCTTTCTCTTTTACAATCTGTACCAGAGAGGAGATATCAGCAGTGAGGTATTCCTAAAATACTTTTGTAGTCAGGCTAAGCAAGCCCCTTTTGGAGGCAAGCAGCTAGTTAAAAGGGGGCTGCTCTTCCTATAACAGTGTCATGCCCTAGAGAGCAAGCAAGTCCAAGGAGTATTATACTGCTTCCAGGGTCACATAGATTCTTCTGCTTCCAGGTCACATAGCATGCACCAATAAACACAAGGGTCTGGTATTGTAAGGCTAGACACTGTCCAAGAGAACAGAATCAAAGAATTTTATTGAAATGTTTGGGAGAAAGAAAGCTATAGAAGGACCAAGCCTAGGAGAATATACACCCTGAAGCCCTGGTCATACATGTGACTCTGTAGTCTCGTGTAGATGAGAATCTGTAGAAAAATGCTTGAGGAAGTATGAAGAATGAGACAGCAGTATTAGGATTCCTTTATCTTCATGTGTTGCAACAAGTGTCAAGACAGAAATTAAAGCAAAGCTTGTTTCTCTCAAAACAGTGGTTCTTAAAGAACCACCAGGCTCTGGGATACAATTTCTTACCTCTTCAATGTCCTGGTCATTGAATTTGTAATTGAGAGCTTCTTTAATAGATAATTCCTTTTTATTGATTTCATCTAGAGTGGGTAACTGCATGCCAGCAGAAAACATCTGGACCAAAATGTGATAAAAAGTTTGTCAATAAGGAATTGGGAAAGAGCCTCTCACTGCTCACAAACACCTGTTAGGCAGTCCCTAGCCACTTACCGCTTCTTTCCACTTCATGAATTCACTTTCAGTGAATTCTTGGTTTGAGACAAACTCTAGGCGGAACACTCGTTGGTCATTGCCATGCCTACATAAAAGAGAGACAGCATCTCCAAGAATGTGCATGTTGACGCTAGGACCAGCTACGCAATCCTACTGACTGTGCGCTGTCTGTGGTTCTCGATCCTGGCTACCCTGTGAAATCATCTAGGAAAACATAAAAATTGAAATGCTAAAAGACCAACCTAGGTCCACATGAGTCTGAACTTCTGGAAGTAAGAACCAGGCACAAAACAAACCTCCTAGGTTGTTTCAATGGGCATCCAGGACTGAGCTTACAAACTAACAATGGAAACCAGAGGGGCTTGGTGAGTGCTTCAAAAGTCAATTTAGAATAAAACCCTCCAGAGTCATCAGCATCAGGAATATGCAGCGCTACGTAGTTATTGGGATGCTAAGCAGACTATTTTCTAGACCTGACCAGAGTCTTGGCGAAGTTAGGGGACTCAGAGATGTCTTTGGGCACAAGCCCAACTGGCTCTTTTTAAAAAAAAATCTTTTATTAAATTTATTTATTATGTATGTGTGTACACATGTGCACATGTGTGAGCTTATGCTCCCAGAGGTCAGAAGATAGCTTGTTGGTTGGAGTTAGTTCTCTCCTTCTGCTATGTGGGTCTAGGCTTGGTGCCAAGTGTTTTTACCCTCTGAGCCATCTCACCAGCCCCGCAACTGGCTCTTTTTAAAACAAACCAGGAGGGATGAGGGGGTCAGGATTTGGGAGGGGAATGAAGAGACTGTGGTGACCAAATCAGCCTAGGAGACAGCTATGTCTATTACCCGCTATTTGCTATGTAATCTTGGCAAACCACTTCTATACCTTCCTATATGGAGTCTTAGTTCTCAGGCTTCAGAAGGGAAGAGGCAGGGATTGTGTAGTTATCTCCTTTATCCTACTGTCTAGGACAGTGCCAGGCATGTAGTAGACATTCAGTAAATATGTGCTGAGTGAATGACACTTCCATTTTACTGAAAAGTAAACTAAATTCAGAAAGGTGATGTTACTTGTCAAAGATGAAGTTAATTAAGTGAGAGCTGGGATCAGAAAGAAGCAAGCCTCTGACTCACAAGAAAATGCCTGTTGGCTCTAGCAGGAGGGTCTCAAGAACATGATATCTTCCTTTTGTATGTCCTGCCACATCACAGCCCTGCTTCCCTTGTGAGAAAGAGAATAACTGATTCTCTACACAGGCAAAGAGAGCATACAAGCTTCCCTCTGTGTGCCTTGTGGGGAATCACATAGTGCTCAATGTTACAAACAGCACACTGGAGGCAACCACAATCCAACTGGCAGAGCCCACCTGAAAAGGGAGCTAAAGCTGCCACAGAAGTACCTCTTAAAGCTGGGTGTGGTGGCATATACCTGTAATCCCAGCCCTTAGAAGGCTGAGGCAGGATTATGAGTTTGTGGCTAACCTAGATTACATAACAAGATCTTGTCTCAAAAAAGACATGGGGAGGGGAGGTAAACGGGAGGACTCATCTCAGTATGTAACCCTGGATGGCCTGGAGCTCACTATGTATACCAGGCTGGCCTCAAACTTGCAGTGATCCTCCTGCCTCTGCCTCTAAGATTACAGGAATGTATTATCATGCCCAGCTAAGGATATGCCTCTTACCGTAGCTGTAGCCCTTTGTTTGTTCTGGTGCCACCCAGCTGGTAAACTTTGGCAGTTTCCACAACACCTGTGATCTCAGCCACCTAAGTGAAAGAACAGACACCAGTCAAAAGCAGATTCCTCTTGAGCTTTCCACATAAAACTTCTTTTGACTTTACCTGAATACAGAAGACTTATGCAAGAGAAGCCCACAGGCATCTGTCTCATGCTTAAAACTCATATGGCTAAGGACACTAAGCCTTATGCTCAGGGCAAACAAGGTCCAGGAGATAAAGCAGTCAGTCTGGGGGACCCATTAGAAGCTTTCCTCTAACTAATTCTACTTCATTGGGAGATGTACTCCAGACCTCCAAGTTCAGTTTTTTATTTTTTAAAATATTTTATTTATTACTTTTATGTGTTTGCGTGTATTGCCTGCACGCAGGTAAGAGTACCTGTGCCGTGCAAATGCCCGCGGAGGACAGGAGAAGCTGTCGGATCCCCTGGAACTGGAGTTACTGACAGTTGTTAGCTGCCATGTGGGTGCTGGGATTCAAACCCGGGTCTTCTGCAAGAACAGCCAGTGTTCTTAACCACTGAGCCATCTCTCCAGCCCCCCAACTTCAGTTCTTTCAGACTAAACATGAAAGGTAAGTACTCTATCACTGAGCTACATCCCCAGCACCCCAATCTTATTTTCTGCTAAACACTTATTAACTTATCTTGTGTTTCTGTGCATATGTGGACACTCATGTGCCATAGCATGTAAATACAGACAGAAGACATTTTGTTATCAGTTTTCTTCTTTTATGCTAGTTCTGAGGATCAAACTCCGGTTTATCAGGCTTGGTACCAAGTGCCTTTACCTACTGAATCATCTTATTTACCCCCCTTTTAAAAATTACATTTATATGTCAGGCATGGTGGCGCACGTCAATTCTCTCCTTCTACCATGTGAGCTCTGGGGATCGAACTCAGGTGGTCTGGCCTAATGGCAATCTCCCTTATTCACTGAGCCATACCACTAACACCCTGCTCTCCTCCCCTTTAAATGCAAGGATTTCACTGTGTTGGCCAGGCTGGTCTTCAACTTCTAGACACAAGTGATCCTCCTAGCTCAATTTCCCAAGCACCTGGGACTTCAGGCTTCTAGCACACTATACCTGGCTCTTATTATTTAAAACAAAAATTTTTTTAATTATTTTTATTTTATGTGAACGAGTGTACTGCCTGCATGTATGTGAGTGCACCCATGTCATGCAATGCCCACAGAGATCAGAAGAGGATGCTGGATCCCCTAGAACTGGAGCTAAGGATGGTTCTTGGCCACCATGTGGGTACTAGTAATAGAACTCAGGTCCTCAGCAAGAGCAGCCAGTGCTCTTAACCACTGAGTCATCGCTCCAGCCCCCTTATAATTTTTTTAAAGAAAAGTTTGGGCTAGGGAGATGGTTCAATAGGACAAAGAGCTAGCCATAAAAGTGTGAAGACCTGAAGTTCGAGCTCTAGAACCCACATAAAAGCCAGATATGATAGTGCACATATGTGATTCCAGAACTAGCATGGCAAGCAGAATGACCCAGACGCTCACAGACCAGGTACCCTCCTAAAGTACACAGAGCAGTAGGAATAAAAGACGCTACCTCAAGGAAAGAACTGACTTTCCAAAGTTGTCCTCTAAACCCCCACACATGCACCATGGCACTCACAACAGTAATAAATAAAAACAGTAATTAAGCAGGGCTGGTGAGATGGCTCAGCAGGCGAAGTAGTAGCTGACTGATAATGTAAGCCTGTTAACTTAAGACTGATCCCAAAACCCACATAAACATGGAAGGAGAGAACTGCCTGTACAAAGTTGTCCTCTGGCTTCTACACATGCTGTGGCATGTGTCTATACATACACTTCTTACACACATACACACAGTAATAAATGAAAGTTTTAAAGTTTTAAAAAGTTGAAAAATGATTTGTGTGTGTAAGCATATATCTAGGGGTATACTTTCCTGTGTGTCTGTGTACATGTGGAGGTCAGAGATTAACATCAGGTGTCTTCTTCTGTTGCTCTCCACCTTTTTTTTTCTTTTTTTTTTCCTTTTTTTGAGACAGGGTCTCCCTGTAGCCCCAACTGGCCTGGAACCCACTATGTAGGTCGAGCTGGCCTTGAACTCACAGAGATCCACCTGCCTCGGTCTCCCAAGTGCTGGAATTAAAGGTATGTGCCACCAAGCCTGGCATCCACCTTATTTTTTGAGATAGGATCTCTTGCTGAACTTAAAACTTGCTAGTTCAGCTAGACTGACAGGCCAGTGAGCACCCCAGCACAGAGGTCACATGTGCATACTGCCTTGTCCAGCTTTTACATGGGTGCTGAACTCAGGAACCCATGCTTATACAGAAGCACTTTACCCACTGAGCCATCTCCAGCCCAAGATCCTAGCTCTTGATGTCAATTTCTTTTTTGCTGTTATTTTATCGAGATGCAATTTTGAATGCAGTTCAGGCTGACCGTGAGCTCATTAGGTAGCCCAAGCTGGCCTCAAATCACAATTCTTCTGCTTTAGCCTCTGGAAGTTGGTACTACTGGCATGTACTGCCATGTCTGGCTTACAGACCAATTTCTATAAATCAAATGAGAAGACCACAGAAGTCAGTTTTGTGTCTGCTAGTTCTCACATAAGCAGAGATAAATACATTAAAACCAGACAAGGGGCTGGAGAGACGGCTCAGTGGTTTAGGGGACTGGGGTTCAATTCCCAGCATCCACAAGATAACTAACGACTAACTGTTAAGTCTAGTTCCAGGGATCCGATGCCCTCTTCTGACCTCAGTGGCACTGCATGACACAGGTGTACTTACAGATAATACATTCATACACATAAAATAAAAATAATAAAACAAATAAAAGAAGAAAAGAAAAATCAAACAGCTATGTTCTAGCATCCAAACCATCGAAGCAGTGCTGGAACAGACATACTAATCAGGATATACATGGGTCACTTTTTTTCTCTTAACTTCCCTAGGTCTAGAGGTGACTTAGTATATAACATGAAAAATTTTTATACATGCAAAAATTTCATTCATTTCTCAAACGAACAAATCTCTGTCATATAACTGAACAAATACATCATAAATGTCTTCCCTTCATACTGTAAAGGGATTGATATGATTCTAAATTCAAACCCTCCAGTTCCTGGAGCTCTAAGTACTCTTTCTCAGTAGGTTATGAATGACCCCTGGTCACTACAGATTTTCTTTAGATTTTCTTTCAGTAATGCATGAACCTCTCAGATGGAGTCTAATTTCTCTTCTGTTAGACTGGCTCATAAATGTGCCCCAAAGACACATGTGTTAAAGTCCAAGTCTTCAGTTTGATACTACTGAGACTTAGTACAAACTACTGGGAGGCTTTTCTTGTTTTGAGACAAGGTTTCACTATGTAACCCTGGCTGTCTTGGAACTCAATATGTAGATGAGGCTGTCCTTAAACCTCCCAGAGATCAGCCTGTCCCCCAAGTTTTGGGATTAAAAGTCTGTGCCACCACTCATGGCTATTGGGAGGTGGGCACTAGTTGGCCTGGAACTTACTATCCTTGTGGCAGTTCTCCTGCTTCTGCCTCTCTAGAGCTGGGATGACACCACACCTGTTTTTGGTTTATTTTTCAGATAGGATCATGCTTTGTAGCTCAGGCTGTCTTCAAACTCACAGCAATCCTCCTGCCAGCCTCCCAAGCACTAGAATTACAGGCATGGGCTACTAAGCTCAGCTAACTTTTTCTTCTTGTAAGGAAAGCTAACTAATAGTCAAGTGGTGGCAGAGGAGTAACAGATTTATTCAGTAGTTCCCACTCCCAGTAGAGAATCATTATATTTGAAATATGGAGAATTGTCCAAGGAAAGTAATACCAACCCGGTAAACTGGTTTGCTATTGTGGTTTCCGATGCCAATCCGCACAAAACATCCTGTGACAGTTTTAGCAAAAAAGGGCATGTGACACCAGCGTTCAAGCTTATGCCGTGATAATCGAACCCGATTCAATTCTTCAGGTAAGGAGACTGGTTGTGATTTTGGAGGAATCTCTTCTTTCCTATGAGAAACAAAAGAGCAGTAGGAAGCATTCACCATAAAAACAGAGGGCAGATCAATAATACCAAATTCTCAAAACTTACCCAAGGAGCATGTGATTACCTTAGTAGGAGAAATAAAAGAACCAGATAAGAATTGTAGGAGAATCGTGTCCCTAACTAGCAGTATAAACTGTCTTGACTAAGGTTCCATCTCAGATGAGAAAACTTGTGGCCATAACTTCTGAGGTAACATGAAGTCAGTTCCTACCTGTCAGGCACAGGGAAAATGTCCAGAGGATGCAGACAGAAGTCAGAGGCACAAGATAAGAACATGCTGTACAATTCTGTTTAGTAGCTCAGGATTTGGAATCAAGTCAAAGATCATGGGCCAAACAGGGCAGTACTGGAAACTACAGTAAGCTTCTCTGCAAAAAACCCACCTATCCTTCCTATGAAATCAAAATGGAGACAACTTACTCCTCTTCTTCATCAGATGATGAAGTTCGGGATGAACGGTCTGACTTTTCACTGGATTTGTCATCCTCTTCCTCCTCCTCATCATCAGAGTAAACCTCACTGGTTTTCAATGGCTGTTTTTTGGCAAGGAGCTCAGCTAGAAAGAAAGTGGAAACATTTACCTATGTACCCTCAACAAACAAGAAATGGAGAAGAGAACTAGAACGCAGAAGAGAATTCAAGTAGACAGTCTATCCTCTGTGATAACCTGGGCCAGCCTGTGGTAAACCACAGCTGAAACCATTCAGGCACCAAGTATCAGGCTTCATAGACCAAAAAATGGTTGGAATGTTGCTAAGAACTGGGCAGAAATGGTTACCAATCACACTAACAATTGTCTTTTTCCTTCTCCCTAAATATTCAGGATTGAACCCAGGGCCTCATACATGCTAAACAAGTGCCTTACACTGAGCTACATCCCCTGCCTTTGTTCTCTTTTTATAAAAATATTTTATTTGTATTTATGATGTATATGAAGTGTTTTGTGTGCATGTATGTTAAGTACACGATGTGTGTTCAATGCCCACAGAGGTCAGAAGGTGTTGGGTCCCCTGGAACTAGAGTTATGGACAGCTGTTAGGTGCCACGAAGGTGGCAGGAAATAAACCCACTGCTCTGCCAAGAGCAGCTCAGCCATCTCTCTAGCCCTAGACCTTGTCTCTTAAACTTTTAAAATCCTATTTACTTATTTATTTTCTGTTTGTGTATATGTGTGCATGGACATATCACAACACAGCATGCATATAGAGATCAGAGGACAACTTGCAGAAGTTGGCTCTACCCTCCCACCAGGTGGGTTCTGAGGACTGAACTCAGGTTGTCAGGTTTGGCAGCAAATGCCTTCTTTTATTGTCCTCGAATGCTTGATGATGGAAGGGAAAGAATGGGAAAAACTCAACTGGCCATGATGGCACAAGCCTTTAATCCCAGCACTTGGGAGGCAGAGGCAGGCAGATCTCTGTGAGATCGAGGCCAGCCTGGTCTACATAGCAAGTTCCAGGTCAGCTGAGCTTACAGGGAGACCCTGTCCCCCCGCAAAAAAGGAATGGGAAAAACTCCTAATTATCTTCAGTTTAGATGATTTTGGTTTTTGAGACAGTCTTAGTATGTAATTCAGGTTAGCCTTGAACTTCATTTTGAATTTACAATACTATTTATGTTTTTTATTTATTTTTTTGGTCTTTTTGAGACAGGTTCTCCCTGTAGCTGCAGCTCTCCTAGAACTCACTATGTAGACCAGGCTGGCCTTGAACTCACAGAGATCCAATTGTATTTGCCTCCCGAGTGCTGGGATTAAAGGCGTGTGTCACCACGCCTGGCTATTTTTGTTTTTTAATTAAAAATTTTTTTGTTGGGTGCTGGGACTTGCTCTTAACCTCTGAGCCATCTCCCCAGCCCAAATTTGCAATACTACTTGTAATGGCAGACAACTGAAAGCAACCTAAGTGTCCACAATTGGGAGTGTGGCTCAATCACCCATGTTGCAACCACCTAGTATACTATCATGCAGCTGTGAAAAAAGGAAGGGCCAAAAAACAAAAAGGAAGAAGGTTCAATAGTACCTTCTGAGTAATGAGTGATTTCAAAACATTGTTTATCAGTGTACTATGTGCATGCAATGCCTGCAGAGGCCAGAAGTGGGCATCAGGTCCCCTGGAACTGGAGTTAAGGTTGTTAGTTGCCATGTGGGTGCTGGGAACCAAATCCAGGTCCTCTGCAAGAGCAGCTTAGCTAGTACTCTTAACTGTTGAGCCATCTCTCTAGCCCGATTTTTAAGAAAACTGAAAACTTAAAAAAGAAAAAACAAAGAGTTATGGGCTGGAAAAATAGCTCAGTAATTAAGAGCATTAGCTGCTCTTGCAGAGGACCTGGGTTCGGTTACCAGCATCACATGGTAGTTAAAACCTTTAATTTTGCTTAATTATTTACTTATTGTGCATGTGTATGCCTGAGAATACGTACGTGTGCCACGGGTGTGCAGGAGCTGTCTGGGGTTAGAAGGCACGGGGTCCCCTAGAACTAGCATTATGGACTGTTGTTAGCCACCATGTGTTGGGAATGATCCCCCAGGTCCTCTGCAAGAGCAGCCTGTGCTCTTAAACGGTGAGTCATCAGTCCCTAGAAGGTGATTTTTGGGTTTTTTTTTTGTCTTTTTGAGACAGGGTCTCCCTGTAGCCCTGGCTGTCCTCGAATTCACAAAGATCCACCTGCCTCTGCCTCCCAAGGGCTAGGATTAAAGGCGTGCACCACCACGCCCGGCATACAGGTGATTTTTATTTTTTTATCTTTTTTGAGACAGGGTCTCCTTGTAGCCCTAGCTGTCCTAGAACTCACTATGTAGACCAGGCTGGACTCAAGCTCACAAAGATACGCCTGCCTCTGCCTCCCGAGTGCTGGGATTAAAGGTGTGCACCACCACACCCGTCCCCGAAAGGTGATTTTTAAAGGGCCAAATGGTAAGCACTACAGGCTTATAGCTCAATGCATTGTCTCAACTACTCAGCTCAGCTGCTGCAGCATGACAGCACTCTCGAACATGCAAACACACATGTGCTGCTTTATTCTAATCAAGTTTTTTCTTTCAGTGCTGGGAACTAAACACAGGGCCTTGCGAATCCTAAGTTATATTTTTAGCCTCCAGTGAAATTTAATTTACAGGCTAGGGGTGGTGGCGTGCACCTTTAATCTCAGCGCTTGGGAGGCAGAGGCAGGGGAATCTCTGTGAGTTCCAGGCCAGCTGGGATTACAGGGAAACTCTATCTCAAAACAAAAAACAAAAAAAGAACCCTCCTCCCCAAAGAAATTTAATTTATAAATGTTACTAAGTCTTCCAGCAGCTCTATACAAAAATGAAGTAGTGCTTGGTACAGTGTTGCTTGCCTGTAACTTCAGCTACTTAGAAAGCTAAAGGAGGCGGACTGTGAATTCAAAGACAGTGCCAGTAACTTAGCAAAAAGGGGTGAAAAAAAGCTGGGCATGGTGGCCCATGCCTTTAATCCCAACACTGGGGAGGCAGAAACAGGTGGATCTCTGTAACATCGAGGCCAGCCTGGCCTACATAGTGAGTCTAGGCTAGCTGGGGCTATAGGAAAACCCTGTCTTTATTATTATTTTTTAATATTTTATTTATTATTTTTATTTTATGTGTGCATGAAAGTATTGCCTTCATGTAGGTAAGTGCACCCGTGTTGTGCAATGCCTGTGGAGGAAAGAAGAGGCCATCGGATCCCCTGGAACTGGAGTTACTGACAGTTGTTAGCTGCCATGTGGGTGGCTGGGATTCAAACCCAGGTCTTCCGCAAGAACAGCCAATGATCTTAACCGCTGAGCCATCTCTCCAGCCCCCAGAAACCCTGTCTTTAAAAAAAAAAAAAAAAAAGGTAGAGGTGCTGGTGCAATGGCTCAAAGGGTAAAGGAATTTGCTTCCAAGACTGACAACTTGAGTTGGATCCCTAGAACACACATGGTGGAAGGAGAAGAACAACTCTCAAAAGTTGTCTTCTGAGCCAGGCATGGTGACGCACTCCTTTAATCCCAGCAGTTGGGAGGCAGAGGCAGGTGGATCTCTGTGAGTTCAAGGCAAGCTTGGTCTACATAGTGAGTTCCAGGACAGCTGGGGCTACAGGGAGACCCTGTCTCAAAAACAACAACAACAAAAAAAAATTGTCTTCTGAATTTCGTATGTGTACTGTGACATATACTCATGTGTGTTTCAGTAAACACATACACCTACAAACAACAACAACAACAATAATAATAATAGCTGGGTTGGGCATACAGCTTAATGGTAGAGTGCTTGCTAACATGTAGGAGAGTTCCTTCTCTAGTACTTTAAAAACAAAGCAAAACAAAAAGCAAAAACCAAACCCAAAAGCAGGAATAACCACCAGAATACATAGCTAAATGAGAAAATTAAAAACAGGAAAAGTGTGCATAGCATGCTACCAATGATGGAAGACAGCAAGTCAATCTGTCCTCATGTTTTAAAAAAAGAGAGAGAAGGGCAGAGCATGGTGGTGCATGCCTTTAATCCCAGCACTTGGGTGGTAGAGGCAGGCGGATCTCTGTGAGTTCAAGGCCAGCCTGGTATTGAACTAGAGATCACAGAGAGTTCCAGGCCAGCTAGGGCTACAGGGAAACCCTGTCTAAAAAAGACCAAAAAGGAAAAAGAAAGCGCACGCAAGAGAGAATATGAAATGGGTTCTCATGTATCTAGGACTGGTCTTAAACCTGCTATGTAGCAGATCTTGAACTTGTGATGCTTCTGCCTCGATCCCCCCTCCCCCCGACTCCAAACACTGGGATTAGAGGCATGTGCAACCATGTCTGGTCTATGCAGTGCTAGGGATCAAACCCAGGGCTTTTTGCATGCTAGGTAAATGCTCTACCAACTGACTGACATCCACACGCCTATATATATGTGTATATATATATATATACACAAATATATATGAAATGTTTAAGTGACTGCCCGTTATGGGAAGAGGCAAGGCATCAAATAGAAGGATAGAGAAGCTAAACTTCTCTGAATATACCTTGTATGATATTATGAAATACATCTTCATCCCCTTTCCTGGCACACAACTCCTAAAATCCATGGAATCTTCAAAGTGATACTGTCTTTTTGTATGCTAATGAGTTGACTGGTGGCTGGAAGCCCAAAGGTAGCTTCAGGACAGGGGCTGATCCCTAGAAAGACCAAGGCAGCATTAGAAGCCTGAGACTCAGATTCTCTAGGGAGGAGAGAGCAGCTAAAAGTTAAGCAAATTACCAATGGCCAATGATGTGATCAATCATGCCTGTGTAATGAAGCCTCCAAAAACCCCAAGAGAACAGGACATGTAAAGCTTCTGCATGGTTGAACCTGTGGAGGAGCCTGGAGAGTGGCTTGTCTAGAAAGGTATAGAAATTCCCTTACCAAATGTTTTATGAATGCTTTTAGCTATATCCCTTGTAATAAACAGGCTTTAAAATAAACCGATGACCTGAACCAGGCATGGTGATGCATGCCTATAAGCCTAGCACTCAGGAGGCGGAGACAGGAATATCAGAAATTCATGTTCAACTATGGCTACATAGAGAGTTTCAGGCCAGCCT